GGGGCGAGGCTTGTTGCGTAAAGAAAAATGATTGAAGAAAAAATTGGCACTGGGTGACAGATCTACCGCAGATCTTTCACACGCACTCTTTTTCCCAACCGTGGTAATTAACTATTCAGTTGAGAATTATTGTAATTCTAAAGCACGCCGAACATGCTATAGGCTCTGTACTGTAGAGCATGGGTACGTGCTGTTTTAATGCAGTTAGCCATTTTCATTTGCCTCTTTCACCCTACAAAAAATGGGTGCAGGCCGCCAAAAAAGGCTCTCCGTGTCTGTCTTTGCTCTGGGCCATCTTCTCCTCCTCCAGCCAGCTGTGTCCCATACTATGAGCACGGGGGGCGACGTCGGCTAAAATGTCACCCAAGAACCTTAAAATATATTCTATTTGGTTGCTTTTAAGGACGAGCAGGCTAACCCAGATTTCGGGGGTTTCCAGAAATCTTGACCTACACCAAAAGTAGACATTGTCCTACCTATAGGAGAAGTGTGGTTTCATTGGTGTGTATTTGTTTGGTTATAGAGAAAACTCTCCGTGTCTTTTAAAGAAACTAAGCGTGGGGCAAAAACTTTACGTTCAATTTTCCCCAAACAGCATTTTTCGGGATAGCCCCCTTGTGCTTATAAAACTCATTTATAACCTCCTTAATGTTACCCAATGAGTATATAAATACTGTCTCTGTGCCCCCTATCTATGTCAGCCCTGAATGGTGCAGATGGTGAGGGTGGTGTGGGTGGGAAATCTAACCAGTGTCTGTGAAAGTGCTCGAGTGGCGCTCCAACATGGTAACTTTCCTGGGTAGCCAGAGGCCGAAGGTGGGGAAAATAGTTTGACCAATGCCTGTCACTCTGATCGTCCGGCTAGTCCAGAAAAAAGTTCTTCGAATCATTGTTCCATGCAAGAAAGGGGTGGCATTGGTTGACTGTGCTTATTACACCGACAGGTGGGGCTAAGGGTGGAAGCGGAGGAGATGTTTAGTTGTTTCTGTTTTTTAATAGGTCAAACTGTGGTCCCAAGAGATGCAAGCACTGGTGGTAATGGATAAAGCCCCATTAAAGCCCCATTTAGACGTACAGTTCGCTGATCGACAAACCGTAGGATATCGAGAGGATGGCCGGTATCCTGTCAATTTCACGTGGAAACTCTCGATATCCAAGGGATATCCGTCCAACCACCAGATATCTGGCGACGCCAGATATTTGCCGGCCGGCGAACCGAATGAGTGACGACGGGGGAGCGGCTTCTTGGATGTTACCCCAGGCGTAGTTGAAAATACATTCCAAAAATTTCCAAAATATTCATCAAATCAAAAAAATAATTAGATTTTCGTGATCAGCGACCCAAAATTAGTCA